CTGGGAGGTGAGGGGCAGATGTTACCTGGTTACATTCATCTCAGGAATAAGGGGGAATGGAAAATTCTCCATGGGAAACTCCCGGCACCCCTGTACCTCACTGATCCCCAACCCTGCACTGTGCCCATATGTAACACAGCAGGAGGCAGGGCCTCTCTGTGTGGGATCCCCTGGCTGGACTGCTTTAAGGGACAGGTGGTCTCTGTCTCAGCTGTGAGCATCAGCCGGTCACTCCACTGGGGACCAGAGATCTTTTTAGAGAGCAAATCCCTGCTTTGAGAGAAGAATTTGCATTGATGGCGCTTTGCCCTGGGTGCTGAGCACCTGTGGGTAGCACCTTCTTCTCATGGGCAGCAGGGGATCCTGAGGGCATTGGTGCTGCCAGGGAGTCGGGGTAACATCAGTAACTGCTCCCGCTTGTGATAATAATCATGAATAAAGAGGCGGGGCTGGGACCTTAGAATTGGTTGCCCTGTCAGGTGGGATGACAGTGCAGCGAGCTCCCCCACAGCAGTGCCCTCTCAGTGACAAACTTTACTGATCAGCTGGGAGCCTCTCCCCACTGCTGGGGTGCCCGACCTCCCCACAGCATGTCTGACACCAGAGCCTGACCCCTGCTACAGATGGGGGAGATTTGGGGTTTGTTTCCTTAAACCTCCCCAAGTTTTCAAAACCCAAAGTCGCACCAACACTCCCCCCAAACCCACCCCAGGATCCAGAGAGCCAGGGAGTGACACTGACCTGGTGGGTGCCCTGTCCCGAGCTGAGTGACTGGGCTGTGATTCACCCCATGAATGGAGGAGAGATACCCTGCTACAGGGCGAGCAAACAGCAGGAGACGGGGGGTCTCACCTGTCACTGCTATGGAGATGGGTTGGCCTCTCTCCGATGCTATTTCTCGCCCAGACACTGTCTTCCAGGATTCACAGCTGTACTTTCCAGCTCGCAATCCAGACACCCCCGACAGTTGAATCGACTCAGTATAACTGTACCAGGATGAGGGGAATTCCTTGGAGTGGATTTTCTGGCCGTTCGTGAAGAACCGGACCCCGGACACGGTGGGCACCCCAGCTGAGCACGTCAGGGTCACAGCTTCTCCAGTTACGTAGACAGGCGGCTGCGGGGACACGGTGAGCTGGGGAGCCGGGAGGGGGTCTGGAAAAGACAAGGGGGTCGGGGAGGAGACGATTCCTACTTGTGCGGCTGATGACATAGAAGCAGAGGAAGGGCCAGTGAAGAGCAGAAGAGGGAGGGATCCTGGACACAGACCCCAGCCAGCCCCAGCTCAGTGCCCAG